ACCCGCGATTGCGAGTAGACATGTGAAAACGGCGAATTTCAATATCAAAAATGTCGGATCTATACGTTTTTAATGCAAATCAATCGGAGAAATGTTATACTCTTCGAGGAGTACAGCATCTACTCATGTATAATATGCAAACCCCTACAGAGTGTGAACTTGCGGTTAGTTTTGTGATTACAAAAAAAGCGTCCCAGTGAATGACCGGCCTTCTTCTCCTGCTCCAAAGTTTTCCCGAGAGTCAGAGGTAATCATAATAAGACCGTAATAATCAGGTGATCCTTCGGAACGAAATCCGATTTCTGAACAATTTTTGGCGACTTGGAGTTGCTCCAGTGCGCGCGCAGGAGGAAGTCGCAAAGATGGTATGACGTGAGACTGCGAACAGAGGTGACACACTAGTCTCCTGTGATCCAAGACACAGAGATCCGTTATTTCAATTTGTAAAACGATTTTGTTGTAAAAATCGGGTTCTAAAGTTTTCGTACAATACAGAATTCAATGAGAGTTACACAAGATTTTGATTTTTTCAAGCTTGCTACATTACAAGGAAGATGTAATAGACTTCTGCGTCTGTTTACAAATAAACTACAGCTATTAATTCCTTTCATGTAAGACCTGCGATGTGATGTCCCCACTACACTACTTTTTGCGTGACCCACTTAGTCTTTGATGCCAATGTTCGAACGATAGGAAGACAAGGCTCTTGATAGCTATGTTTAATAGGATGTTTAATAGGTACCTTCGTAACATATACACAGCACTCATTATCAGATTATTAAAATTATAATTGGTTTTGTGTTTACAAAAGAAAGTTTCTTAGTAAGGGATAGGTCTCCCTTTTCGGTCCCAAAATTTTCCGGAATGTTCAGAGATAACCATACCATTCACTGTATTTAGGAGCTGTGGAGCCGTCTCAGAGGGATCTTTCAAACCCTGTAAGTTCGATCATAGTATGCTAACTAATTAATATGAAGAGTCACTTGGTTGAGAGCAAAAGTAGATGCAAAGCTCACTTTTGGTCCTCCAATATCTGTTCGATTCCATCCAGGACACATCGACACAACAAGCATAGACGGATATTCCACGGAGACTGTACGGGTGAGTTGATTCACAGCTGCCTAGGCAAGAAAGAAGTAAAACAAGCGCAAAATCCTTAATTCAACCTACCTTGCTGCACATGTATGCAATATTACCCTCAACTTCCTTTGTACCATTGCATAGCTCAATGGATCCTTTTCTACCAGACATATTGATTATAGTTGCTGGCTGTTGTTGTGAAATGGAAACCTTCAGTAACGGAAGACATTCCTAGAGGAAAGCCGTGACGTTAA